CTGAATTGATGTCATCTAACTGGTAATAAGTTTTGTTTCATGTTTTAAATACATAATATTATTTATGTTATTATTATATTTCTAAATTATCTTATACTATGAAATTTGAGAGACCATTGTAACAGAAATGCTGTCAGACAAAACATTTTCCCTTTTAATCTGGATACTGTTAGATTATGAATTGGACCTTTAAAAGGATGTGACCAAAAAAATGGATATTTGAAAATTGTTAAATGTTCAGTGAAGTATATTTTGTTATAAAACAGATAGTAATAGTAATAAATTTACTGTAATAGCGAATTTTCATTTGAAAATTCTTGCTTCTTATAAAAGTGTATAGGGTGGTTTAAAGATATAGCTTCAACATATTAATGATGACTCAACTATCAGTTATTTTCTATATATCTGAAGCCCTAGAATATGGTTAGTTTTAATTTATAAGTAAAGGATGAATGAAATGTTAACTGTGAGGGAAACATCAGGAAAGATATTCAAAAAGCCCTAAGTTTTGGTTAGTGAAATTTTGCTATTCAAGGTAAAAAAAGAATTGGGACTGTAATTTACTGTCTGAATTGTCATGAAGCCAGTAGTACAAAATGGCATGTGCTGCAGTCTGGGAACTGCTAAAGGTGAATGTCTGTTCCTGAAAAAAGTTTTGGGGATGACTTTGACCTGGCCTAAGGTAGGATCCTCTTGACTTTATTCCCCATTTTGATATTTCCTTTCTGAAAAGGAAATTTCCTCACCTGATTAATCCTGAGCCTTGTTTTTAGCACCCTGTAACTACATGATTAGCTATCAGATATGACTCATGCATGGAATCAAACAGAGCTAAGAGAATTTTCCCACCTGTTATGACATGTAACATTGTTATAACTATATCCATCTTTTTCCTTTTATAGAAAATTTCTATAATCAAGAAATTTTGTAAGTACAATACTAAATCTGTTAAATAATAGATACTGGAACATCTCTGAGTTACTATGATAGGATGCAAGTATAAACATCTTGCAATTTTAACCTGCATTTGTGGTCAAATTATAATGTAAGGATGATATCCTCCTAAATGGGAAATGGTTAGACAAAGTAATAAGAGAAAGATGTAATATAAAAATTTTTTAAATAAATGGAATAGTAAATTTTAAGGAAGAAACAAGATTCGACTGTCTTCTCTAAGAACTGTGTGAGGATGTACATAATTGACTTCCAAATTTATCTATCATGGAAATTCAGGCTTTGAATATGTTTTAGTAATAAGTTCTCAAAATTGGATTAAGTATTTTACACATAAATTGTATTGATAATAGTAAGGAAAGTGACATTATTTTCCCATTTTTATAGTATCTGTCTGATAATTTTAAAAGGCAGAAGAACAGGTCATAAATGAGCTTCCTAAGAAAAAAGCAGCAGGACTAGGAAGACTTACAAGTGAATTCTATCAAACATTTAAAGATCAACTTATATTAAATAAATTATTTGGAATGATAGGCAAAGAAGGGATCCTACCTCCTTCTATGAAACAAATATAATACTAATACCTAAAACCAGGAAGCGTAAAAAGAGAGAAAGAAAATTATAGACCAATTTCATTAATGAATATGGATGCAAAAATCCTAAATAAAATATCAGCTAAAAGATTACAATAGTGTATTTAAAAGATTATATATTATGACCAAGTGGGATTTATACCAGGAATGGTTTAACATAAGGAAAACTATTAACATAATTGATTATATCAATAATAATAAAAATCAATAGATGCAGGAAAAGCTTTTGATGAAGTACACCACTCATTTCTATTAAAAAAAACATTTGAAAATATGGGTATAAATGAGTTTTTCCTTAAATCAATAAAAAAGCATGTTTATCTAAAACCATCAGAAAGCATTATTTGTAATCGGGTTAAGCTAGAAGCCATCCTACTAAGATCAGGTGTTAAACAAGGATGCCCACTATCACCAATATTATTCAGTATTGTAATGGAAATCCTAGCAATAGCAATAAGAGAAGAAAAAGAAATAGAAGGAATCAAAATAGGGAATGAGGTAATAAAACTATCTCTTTTTTGCTGACAATATAATGCATCAGGATTCCTATATATCACAAACAAAACCCTGCAAGAAGAGATAGCAAGAGATAGCCCATTTAAAATAACTCGTCTGTTATTATCTATATGCTGATGGTTCTCAAATCTATCTAGCCCTAACTTCAGGCCTGGCACTCTATCCACTTTGTGACCTAGTTACCCTGTTTATGTAATACAATGGCATATTAAATATCTAAAAAAAACAACGAAACAACATTCCAACTGAAAAACACCATGTTAATTATTAATGTCTACACGTAAAGAATGGCTTATGTAGACTTTGAACAAATAAGAAGGATATAGTTAATAGACTGTATGAAAGAAAACATTGTAAAATATCAGCACATCTATTTGCTCGGTTATCTTAGACTTCTGTTTCTTCATATATAAAATGAGGGAGTTGTGATAAGCATTCTCTGTTCTTTTCAAGCTTTAAGATGTTATGATTGTAGTGGAGTCTTTTCTAATTATAGGGGCGGCTAGGTGGCGCAGTGGATAAAGCACCAGCCTAGCAGTCAGGAGGATCTGAGTTCAAATCCGACCTCAGACCAAACACTTGACACTTACTAGCTGTGTGACCCTGGCAAGTCATCTAACCCCAATTGCCTTACCTCCAAAAAAATCTAATTATAAAGGTACCTAGGCAACCTTTTTCAGTCAAGTGATGTTCCCATTTCCACAGGTTGTCTTAGTATCAAAGGGATGGACTAGTTTTCTATTGTAAAAGGTTGTTTCTAGCTTGGAGAAGAGAAGATTTAGGAAAAGTAAGAAGACTTACAAATCTTAATTATCTTCAAGTATTTTAAGGGCTGTCATGTAGAAGAGGAAGATTTGCTGTGCTTAGTTCCTTAAGGTAGCATTAGTAACAATTAATGAAAATTGCAGAAAGAAAGAATTGACCATATTATAAGTATATGGAATTGAGCCTTAAAAGCCCAACATTTAACTAGAAAATAAGGGTAATGAGATGTTTCACTATAAAAATGTGGCCATGTCATGTGATCTCTTCATGAGGTACAAATAAGTCCCTTGAGTAAATTTAAAAGAGAGTAATAAGATAGGATAAACAGTAATATTCCATTCCCTGTCATCTCCTTTCCCCCCACCCTAAAGTGACCTTGAAAAGTCAATGCAGGTGGAGTTAGGAGGAGAAAATGAACTCAGATCTTCTCAAGATGTGTAGGAGACACCAGAAGCTGAAGAAAGGAAGGCCATCAGAAACTACATGGAGCTGGAAGAATAGGAAGGCAGGCAGAAGCCCCTACCCCAAAGAAAGTCTCCCAGGTGACTCGGGTTGAGGCTGTTGGGACCCATCAGCAAGCTTGAGAAGTATTGGGACAGATGAAGCTTTGCTGAAGCCTGCTACTAGACTAGAGACTCCAGCATGGTAATATTGTGTCTCCCTTGGGCCCTTTCATGGGGAAAGGAGAATAATCATTTATTAAGCACCTACTATGTGCCAGGCACTGTGTTAAGTATTTTACAAATAATTTCTCATGGAAGCCCAAAACCTTTCTCTACAGGCATAGGGAAAGTGTTTACCATTCTTTGTTTTAGATGGTTACTTTGTGTTTATAAATAGCATTTACCGCAGGTCTTTGCCACTCTGGTTGTACTTATTGGAACTGCAGCTGGGAGGAGGTCTGAGGAAAAGAGTATTGTCAGAGGAGAAAGAGAAATAGATCTAACAGTGATGTGTTTTGTCAGAGTGCTATCTCTGGCTGGGGGACTGGAACTGAAAAATAGACAGAGAATTACAGATCCTTTAACACAATGCGCCTAGAACATGGAGAGTTTATACCAGGAAACTCATTTAGGTGAGCCAATAGTAGGGTGGATGGGGGACAAATAGGAGTAGTTGAATAACCCTGCTCACCGCACCTCCCCAGCTCTGCCACACAAGTAGAAACTACCTAACAATTAGTCTTATCCAAAAATGGATGAAGCACCATGACACAGAGGATAGAGGGCTGGTTCTGGAGTCAAGACAACCTGGGCTTAAGTTCTGCCTTTGTCATATGCTGGCTGTGTGATTCTGGCAGACTGTTGCCCTCTCAGTGCCAGTGCCAAGCAACTCTCTGAAATGACAAGTTGCAGCACATTTGTTGATCTGAATTAGTAGAAGGAGTTTCCTCCCTGTCTATACCAATGAAGTCATAGGTCTAAAGCAAAAGCATATTGACCTGTTTTATCAAGTAGTGAGTCTTCCATCACTAGTGGTCTTCAAGCGCCCTGAGTTCCTATGTGATATCAACAGAGGCTAGTCACCCACAGGTACCTGGGAGTAAAAAGCTCTGAGAGATAGTCCTAACCACTTCTAGCTGAAAACAATAAGAAACTGAACTGGCCTGCCCCTTGAGGGCCAATAGAGAGAAATGGAGGATGTGCACACAGGAGGTACTGACATTGACCAACTTTGATTCTTGACTATTTCTGATTAAAACTTTATAAAGTATATGTTGTAAATGTCCTCAAGTGAAACTCAGCAGAAAAAGGATCAATTGGAAAAGCCAATGGGGTGAGGGCCTGAACCCTGATACTTTGTTAGATGGTGCAAATATGTTTGAAAGACTAATGTAAGAACATGGCCAGAAAGGGATGAAAACATGCTTGCTCTAAGAGTTGGAAAAAGACAAGATCATGGCAGATACTCTAGAGTGCCCTCTAATGCTGACTGATGTGTTACCATAAAGCCTGTTGTTTAATCTGCCCAGGGAATAGCTCACTCACACATCTTGTAGCCCTAACAGGAAGTTTAAAATCTCCATCTTTCTTATTACAGTTGCAGTCCTTTTTACTCCTCTTTACTTAACAGAGATGGAAAATAGCTGGTGAGAGGAGTTGTGCCCATCCTCCCACCCTGTTCCTCACCCCTTGCCTGGGATCCATTCCTCCAGTAAATATATACAGCCACTCAGACAGAGACATTTTATTCAAGACAGAGAGTGAAGTATCCCTAGTTGCTATGGAGGAAGTGGCCTCAGGGGAACAGTGGGTGAGGTGAGAGTCCACTGAAGTAGCAGCTCCTCATTATAGAATATGATGCCCTTCATGGTGCCTATAGTGTCATTCTTTGCTGGGAGGCAGGGCATACGGGTCTTAGAGCAAGCAGCTTAGAGTCACTTAATCCAAGGAGAAGGTTCCAGAAGAAGAAATAACGAAGGAGAGAACAGCATCGGGCTAGCAGCTCCACTGGTCCAGGTTCTCACGGCAGAATGTTTTATGGGCCTTCCTAAGAAAGGAAAGAAAGAAGCCAACCTGATTAGCAGCCCTGATCCAGGCCAAGAATGAGGGAAGAGGAAGCTTGGTGGGGGTGGCTGTATTTTGACGCAGCACTTGAGTTCTTCCCACCATTATTGATGGGGAGAGGAAGTGGGATGGGGCTAATATAGTATCTAATCCCAGATAGTATCTAATCATGGTCATGGCATCACTGACAAGCCTTTGAGCCACAGCCTAAGGATATTCTGGAGTTATAGAGGACAGTTGAATGATGATTGACACTCAGTTTGGGGTTAGGATCAAGGTCTGAGAGTGAGCAAGGAGAATAACGGTGAGGGGAATAGGTATAAAAATGGAAGAAGCCATGTGAAGGGAACCTGGTTCTCAGCTTTCTGGCAGGGACTCTATGCCAGATGTTTTGGTGAGTGAAAGCTAGGATGACTAGATAAGAACTAGAGACCTGAGACTGTTATATTATGTTCATCTTAGATCCCAAGGCTAGGAGATCTGGGGCCAGATTGAGGGGAATATTTAAGGCAGGTCAGTGATGGAGGTGTGTTTTACCAGTAGTCAAGTCTTTCAGGTAGCTGCAAGATCTTCTTGGCACACATAATGTCATCGGTAATGTCATCATCAAGGAGTTCTGGCATTAGGGAAGAAGATGGGAACTAAAGAGTGTTGCTCAGAAAGATGAACCCTCCCCAAGTTCCTGTTACTGGAAATGGAACTGGAATCCTCCCGATTAGAACCACCCCCAGCCTAACACTGGTGCCACCTTGAGACTTTGTGTTTGATTTCCTGTCCCTACACAGGGAGTGTATCCAATGCTCTCTGGGCAAAGAGAATATTCAGGGACTTTTCCAGGGAAAGAGCTCAGCCTCAGGAGTTGATGTCACCCAAGAAATGAAATATGTCAGTTCCCAAGTTTCTGACCAGCTCTTCTGCCTGCCTCTGAATCTTGAGACCTTAGCTAGGAAAAATGGGGACAGTGACAATATAAAGATGGTCCATTCAAGGCCCACGGTTAAGGCTAAGATCCCACCAGCAGTGTAGGCAATGATGCAAAAGAGAAGACCTCCAAAACTGCTCAGAGGAAAGATACTAAAGACCAGGGATTAAAAGAGCAGGAAGAAGGTATGAAATTACTCACTAGAGCAAAGAATGCCGCAGACACTTTTTGCTACATCTTCCTCCTTTTCAGCACACCAGCCATTGTTGCTGATCTGGAATATTCCATATTCTTTGTTGCTGTTGTTATTGACTTCAGCTTGGGTGCTAAAGCCGCTGCTATGGAACATGGTACAGATCACTAAGGGAAATAAAGTGAGAGAGGTGAGACAGACCTGCAGACTGGACAGAGATGGGACCCGGAGGCCCCCAGGCTAGTGAAGGCAATTCAGTAGCGGAGGAGCCAAAGGGCAGAGGTCAGAAAAGGGGTGTACACAGAGAGGAGAGAATGGACAGAGAAAAGGGAGGAAGAGAGTGAGGAAAGAGATAAGGAGAGGGAGGGGAATGATTAATAAGTGGATCAAAAAAAAAACTAGGTAAGGTTTGGAATAGATCACCTCTGATATTCCTTCCAACTGCAAGTTTATGATTTGAGAAGAAGAGGAGAGGGGAAGGGAAAAAAGAAGGTAAGGGAAAAGGAGAGGTAAATAGGAAATCTCTTGTAAGACAGAATAGTAGGAGAGGAAAAGGAAGAAAGAGAAAAGAGGAAGGGAAGGGAAGGAAAGAAAAGATGGAGAGGAAGAATAGGTAGAAGGCAAACAGAGAAGGAAATTAACTAATGGGGATATCGGTGACAATTTGCAAGGTCTACAAATGGTTTCATTTGTAGACAAGAGTCATGATATAAATAGTTAGATTATATGGCTTTTGACATCCCATTTCAACTAGAATCCTATAGCTGGGATAACTATAAAATTATAGCTGAAATCATTTCAACTGTAATTTCAACTATGATTAAAAAGAGAGTTACAGAGAGGCAAGGAGAAGATGGAATTAAATAATAGGGACATTTATGATCATTTGTAAAAGATCCGAGATTTGGCCGAGGGTTAGATTAGGTGGCTTCTGGGGTCCCTTTACAACTGCACTTCAAAAGTTCAGAGAAAAAGAGGAGGAGAAAGAAAAGAGGGAAGAGGGGGGTAACTAATAACAAGAAGAGAAGAAAAAAGGGAGCAGAGAAGGGAGGAGAAGGAATAACCTTAAAAAGGGTTGAAGAGAGACGAGTAAAGAGAACTCACGTTCAGGCAGAGGGATATCTTTGTCGATGCCACGTTCTCTCAATATCCGGGACAGTTCACATTTCCTATAGTCTTTGGCCTGGGTGGCTGGGAGCGCAATGCCAAGCAAGATCAGAGGGAGCAGAGACATCATCCTGGCTGCTTCAGGGGTCTGGAACGTGGAATCACTCGGAGCCACCTGCTTTTATCCTCATCCTGTACCATGGGGGAGGTGGGGAAGAGCTCAAGTCACCTTGTTAAAAAAGGCACTGCCCCCAGGAAAAGGATAGTGGAGGAACTGATAGATCAGCTCTCTTTCCTAATACTTTCCCTATCCCAGCCTCACCCACACTAGCCCCATTCTTCACCTCTGAGGTACCTTATTTCCTCTTGGCCTCATTCTCAGATCTTTGTTTGTTGTAGCTTTAGTTCTAGGAATCAGGGCCTGCCTACCTTGCTACTGAAGGTAAGAAAGCAGGCCCCTAGGTAGACATGGTTGATAGAAGGGTAGCAGGGAATACTATAATCTCGCCAAGAGATCTCTCAGTTCTCTTGCAGTGCCCCAGTAGTGATTCCTAGTCTTCAACAAAGCCTCATTTTGTACCTCCTATCCCTAATTCAGGGCCCTCTCTGTTTCAAGGGAGGGAGCCTCCGCTGAGGACAGGGAAGAAGGCAGAGGAATCATAGAGATGTAACTCTCTATTATTGGTAGTTACTGGACAAGGGCAAGGTCTAGGGAGCCTGGAGTCTTCACTCACACTCTGTGGTCTAGCCAAATTGGCCTGTTGACTTTTTGCAAAACTCAAAATCCTATCTCCCACCTCTGTGCCTTTGTAAAAACCACACCCGAAATAAATCCTCACCTCAGTCTCCTAGACTTTTTAGTTCCCTTCCAAGTTTATGTCAGGTGGTACGTCATACAAAAAGCCTTTACTCTGGATTTATATTGTATATATTTGCATTTCATTATCTACGTATAGTTATATTGCCTCTTACATCTCAGATTGGGAGGCAGTGTGGTGACGGAGAGCCAGACTTGGAATTGGGAAGACCAATATTCTAAATTCACATCAGTTTAATTACTACCTGGATGACCCAGGCCAAATCACTTAACCTGTTAGCCTTAGCCTCCTCCTCTGTAAAATGGGGATAATAAAAGCACTGCCTAATAGGGTTATTATGAGGATCAAGAAGATGATAAAACAGGATAATAAATCTAAAGCTAGAAGGAGCTTCAGTGGTCACTCAATCCAACCCTTTCATTTTACAAATAAGGAAACTGACACCAAAGGATATTAAGTGACTTGTCCAAGGACACATATATAGTTAGCATCAGAGCTATTATATATATATGAAGCTTTTTGCAAGCCTTAAAGTATTTTATAGGTGTTAGCTAAGAGTAGGGACTTTTTCATTTTTGTTTTTGTATCTGCAGTGCATAGCACAATACCTTGCACAAAAATGATCATTAACACATACTCATAGAATTAATTTAGTAGTTAGTTACCTGAGATTTGAGAGGTAGTATTATATAGAGTAAAAAGCAACCTTTAAGTAAGAAGACCCTAGAACCTAGTTCAGTTCTGCATTTTACCAATCATTATCTGTGACCTTGAACAAGTTTTATTTTTTTAATTTCTCTGAACCTGTTTCCCTAGCTACAAAATGGGATTAATAATCATGTCATGTGAAAATAAGAGCATCTGGAAGAACTCCTCAGTCGTAGGGAATCCTTCTTCTACTTGGAATCTGGGGTTGATCTCCTACACCACAGTAGCAAACACCTTTGTTGAGCACACGCACATCTTCCTGTTCTATGCTTAGTCTTATAGTCAGACATTAACTTCAAGAGTTGGGATAAGGACAGGAAATACTATTAGAGAAGATTTTTTTCAAAATGTATCCAGGGTAGGCCCATAAAAACACAGCTATGATCTTCCTTGACTTCACTCACCACCACACAACATGCCACCAGATCATCAGACATTGCCAAAGACAGAATCAGATCAAAGTCACTCCCTGAAAACAGTCTCAAGATGAAATTCTAATTTGTGTACCTCTAGGAAGAAAAGTAGTGATTACTAAAAGTCAACATAGCTTCATCAAGAGCAAGTCATGTTAGACTAGCTTTATTTCTTTTTTTGATAGAGTTACTAAATTGGTAGAACAAAGAAATGCTCTAGACATAGTGTATCTAGATTACTATATAGAGGATACAGGGCCAGTGTTAGACAACAGCTATCTACATTTCTGATCACGTTACCCATATTTCAGTACAAGATGGGAGAGTTGTGGGTTAGATGAATAAGGTGACTTTAGAACTGATTGAATAACTGAACCCAGAGAGTCATTATTAATGACATTGTCAATTTGAAGAAAAATCTCTAGTTGGAATCCCATGATCCTTTTCTGTTTAACACTTTTTTATCAGTTATTTGAATTAAATTAAATTATTAAATATTCAGATTACAAAAGATTGAAACAGATAGTTAACATATTGGCTTAGAGTCAGGATCCAAAAAGTTCTTGACAGATCAGAATAAAGGACCAAACCCAAGAAGATTAAATTTATTAGAGGTAGATGTAAAGTTCTCTACCTGGGTCAAAAAACTCAATTTTATGAGCATGGGAGTCATGACTAGACCATAGTTTACATGAAAAAATATCTGAAGGTTTTAGTAGATTGGCATGTGTATTGTGTACATCAAAAGCATGTTTATGGGGCAGCTAGGTGGTGCAGTGGATAGAGCACCAGACCTGAAGTCAGGAGGACCTGAGTTCAAATCCGGCCTCAGACACATAACACTCACTAGCTGTGTGACCCTGGGCAAGTCACTTAACCCCATTGTCTAGCTAAAAAAAAAAAAAGCGTGTTTATGCACTGAAAGATCAATATGAGCAAAAAGTGTGATATAGCAACCTGAAAAAGCTAATGCAAACTTAGGCTTCATTAAGAGATATATGACTTCACAGAATATGGTCACATACCTGAAATCTCAGGGTCTGGCAGCATGCCTGTAATCCCTGCTACTGGGGAGACTGAGGCTAGTAGATTGGTGAGATTAGGAATTCTGAGCTGCAGTAGGAATAAAGACAATCAAATGCCCTTGACAAGTCTTCACCCACATGATGAGAGTGGGGTGAGAGAGAGGGAGGAGAACTTGCAGAAGTAAGAACTACACTTTGCTCTGCAATGATCAGACCATAATACGGGAATATTGTCTTAAATTTTGTGAATGTCATTTTGGGAAGGACATTGATGAACTGGTGAGTGTCAGAGAAAGAAGGGTAATGAGGATGGTTAAGAGCGATGTTGTATGACCGTCGGTTGAAAGAACTGGAGATAATGAGGCAAAAGAAGAGAAGTCTCAAGTATTTGAAGAAACATCGCATCAAAGAAGTACCAGACTTCTTTCACTCAGCTCCATTGGGCAGAACTAAGAAGAATGGAAGGAAGTTGCAGGGGGTCAAATTTAGGCTTGTGATAAGGAAAAAATTTTCTAATTAGGGTTATCCCAAAGTAAAATGGGACTCCACATCATAGGTTCCCCTGCACAGTCTTAAAGGAAAGGCTAAATGATCATTTAGATGAGTTGCAGAGGAGATTCTTGTTCAAATACTAGTTGAACTACATGATTTAAACTAGATGATGAATTAGATGAACTAGATGGAAAACTAGGTGTTTTCCAAATCTGAGGTTCAATGATAATGTGCATATCACAAATGCAGTGCCATGGTAAAAGAAAAAGAAGCGGAGTGTCACTGTAGACAATACATGACAGAGGATGGGAAGTAAGACACCATGACATCACCAAGAAGGCACTTCCTTCAGAGGAAGCTCCCTTCCCTAAAGGTCAATGCCCTGGGGAAAAGCCTTGTTAGATGAATTAATGGAATATTATTCTGCTGTAAGAAATGATGAAAGATTATTTCAGAGAATCTTAAGAAATATAAACTAATATAGAGTGAGGTAAGCAGAACCAAGAAACAATTTGTATAAAGACAACAGCGTGTTACTTTGAATGACTTAACTTTTACCAAAACAATGGCAAGTTATGTCTACAAAGAACTTGTGATGAAGCATGTTACCAACCTCTTGACATCAAGGTGATGGACACAAAATGAAGAGTCATTTTATACGTGAACAATATTTTAATTCATTCTGCTTGACTACTAATTTTCTACAAGGTTTTTTTTTATTATTTCTTTCAAGGTTTTTAATTAGGGAATAATTAGTTGTTACATCAATAGTGATGCCAAAAACAAAAGAGGAACACTGAAATATTTTTTTAAAAATTCACAGATGATAACAAAAAGAAATTTAGAAGGAAGCACAGATAATCAAGATAGTTTTGAAAGTAATATTTAGAATTTATGAAGCATATATGTATACATATGTTAAAGCAAGCCATATGATATTGAGTTCACAATTTCCTATGAATTTCTCTTTTGTGTTCTCCTGTGTGTACAGAAATGCTCTTTGTAGGTGTTGTTAAGTTCAGAATAAATATATATACATATTTTTTAAGAAAAATCCTGGCATTCCCATACTATCAAGGTTCTTTCTAACTCTGAAATACTGTGATTCCATAAAGTGAATGACAGTTATAATATTTTTATATTTATATCATAGGGTTTTTTTTTGCTACAAGGCGCAGGTAGGTAGTGTAATGGATGGAGCTCTGGGCTTGGTGTCAGGAAGACTTAAGTTTAAATCTGGTCTCACACACTTACTACCTTTGTGACCCTGGGCAAGTCACCTTTGCCTCAGTTTCCTCATCTGTGAAAAAAATGGGGATAATAATGGCATCTACTTCCCAGAGTTGTTGTGAGGATCAAATGAGATAATAATTGTAAAGCATTTAGCATAATGCCTGGCATACATAGTAAGTTCTATGTAAATATTATCATTATTATTAGAACCATGATTAATTTAAATGCATTTATGTTGTTTGATTTGCACAACAGCCTGATATTGCCTTATCTGAAATCATGATTGCTATTCATGCTTTGTTGAGTTTACTTGAAACATAACAGATTTTATTCTGGCCTCTTAACTCTGTGTAAATCTTTCTGTTTCTTATCTGTTTCTGATTTTTTAACATAAATTTTTATTTATTTATTTTTAACATTCGCTTTTTAAAATTTTGAGTTCCAAGTTCTCTTCCTCCTCTACTTATTGAGAAGGCAAGCAATATGATATCAATTATATAT